ACAGAGCTGAGGATATATACCCTATTCTAACACAGTACCTTGATGAGTGGCTGCTATGTGTGTGGCACCACCTTTCCTCTCCATCTCCTTCAGTAGTTACCTATGAGTCTACAATTCTAAAACCTCGAATAGTAACCATTCCCTCCCCAGCGTACTTGACCATATATATGCTTCAACATATCTATATTGCATGGACAACTTGAAACAAATTCACAGAATCAAAGAATCATAGAATGGTGTGGGTTGGAGGGGACCTTTAAAGGTCATCTAGTCCACACACACACACACACACACACACACACACACACCCACAATGGGCAGGGACATCTTCAACTGGATCAGGTTCCTCAGAGCCCCGACGAACCTGACCTTGAATGTTTCTGGAGATGGGGCATCTACCACCTCTCTGGGCAACCCGTTCCAGTGTTTCACTACCCTTGTTGTAAAAAATGTCTTCCTTATATCTAGTCTAAATTTACCCTCCTTTAGTTTAAAACCATTACATGTTACTTTTTTGTTTTTTTTTTTCCCCCTAAGAGTTTTGCCTAAACTCTTAATTGTGTGTGAGTCTCCAGGCTACAGTCCTCCACCCCAATTCTAGGAACCAAGTTTTCAAGTGAAAGTAAATTTTAAGTACAGTTAAAGCAAAATTTGCCACCCACTGTAGCCACCGTTGGCATAGCCAAATAAACATGCTTTGTCCATGGTATGACTAACAAACACTTCAATGAGTGAAAAAAAAATCCCATTCACTTGATTATGCAACTGGATTCTCTTGGAATACCTTCAAAAAGCTCTCTAATGAGAAGTCTGTAAAAGTTGAACAAAGTAAGCATTTCCACCGGTGGGAAAATAAGCGCGAGCAATTCTGCATTTGACCCTGCAATGAGAGACAGAATGACAATCCGCAGGGTCAGGCTCATAAGGATTCAGCACATGGAAGCAGCGAGCCATGCCACCTCGGCCACCTTGGGAACGAGGCACGATTCCATTGGTAGCACCAGAAAGAGTCGGGCACAGTAGCAAAATAACAAAGAATGGATTTTGTTTAGTCCCAGGAATGCATTGCCAGCACTACAGTGGTCAACACTGTGGATTAATATTGCATCAAACTTTTAAAGGGAGGTTGGAGGCAGGGGGGAAATGAGAAAAAGTTTCCTGGCTAGGCAGACTACAACTATTTCCACCACATCTCTGTATAAATAAGCCTTAGTTTGTAGTGAAGAAACTAAAGAGAAGCAACATTACATTTCTTTCTGTTTGAATTTGAAAGCTATACTGCTTGGTCCCTGAGCAGTGCAATGGATGCCTTGGTAGCTGTCTCTGCTTCCTAACACAAAGCAAAAAAGAAATGAAATGGAGTTTGAATCAGAAAGGCTGTCCAAAGGCAAGCTTTCAAATATACACTTCTTATAAAGGCCTGTCTATAGACAGTCATTATATCAGATAACAGGAAAATATAAATTTAAAACTCTACTGTACTGATACAATGCTTTGTATGGGCATTTTTCTTCTGGAATCAGAAAGCCGGTCTTCGGTTCAGCTCTGTCACTTTGACACCTCTCTTCTCTTGAAAAAGTCCCTCTGTGTTTCAAGAGCAAATGTCTCCAAATGCAGAAGCAATCCTGGTATGATAACATCTTAATCACTGAAAACCTCTACTGAATTTTGATTTTATGTAAGGTGCTGGTATATCCCCAGCATGGGGGTAGCAGACCCCATGCCCCACGGCACCATCCTCTCCATGGAGAGGGATTAGTTGGGCTATCTGTGAGCACAGTTTAGTATCCCTTTAAAAAACCAAACCAAAACAAAGGCCCACCCGTTACGATGATATCAATCTGCTTGGAAAACTGGATACCAGATGTTGGGTTCCTAAACAGGAAGGTGGTAGGTGGTAGGTTAGATTGCTTTTAGAGTGCCAACTCCTCAGTCCTACAGCACTGACTGTGGCAGCTCAACAGCATTCAGCATCTCAAAAGCACAGACCTAAACTGCAAAGAGGAACCTCTTGGAAAAAGCCGTCAGTCCAAATTCCCTCCCTCCCTCCATGCACCTGTGTTTGCTTTCGCTGGAGTTGCAGAAATGCCATCCGTAATTCTAACGTCCTCGTACTAAATGATGCATGGCTTAAAACTCAGCCTGTGACCTCATGCATGTCTATGCAGTTAGCCGGGGCTCTGCATGCAATAGATCACTTCGCAAAGGACGGGAGGTTGCTAAGCTATATGCCCTCATTGCAGACTTAACTTTTTCCGATATCAGCAGGCTATCAATTACTTTGAAAGTGTCTGGGAATTTCAGAAGGCTGTGGGATGCTGAGAACACACCCTTAGATTCCTTTGTCACAGCTAGCCTGTCAGAAAAATTCCCCAAGGGGAAATAACACTCCCCAAGGGGAAATAACTCCGAGGTGGCACAGCTCAACAGCAGCGAGTGTAATGCTCTTGGCATTAACCCTCTCTATCACAGCAGCAGGCACAGAAAACATCCTTGCAGCAACCTGCAGATGTATCAAGCATGTAATGTATTACATTTTCCTCTTGGCTAACGCTCCTCTCTCTCTGTCTCTCCCGCAGCATACAGCGTCGGCTGTCTTTGCAGCTGCCCATTCTTCATCATGCCTACTTGCCATCCATAGGAGGAGTTGATGCTAGCTGTGCCAGTCCGTGCGTAAGCCCCAGTGCCAGTCCTCGGCACAGGCACGTGCCACCCTCCTTCCGAGTAATGGTTTCGGGGCTGTAGGAAAGGGAGATCAGTGCTTCCTGAACTGCTTTTAAGTACTCAATGACTGGACTAAACATCTGACCTAGAACTCTGCTACAAACATGTAACATTGGCTCTTACCGCAGAGGAACTACCGCTGAGGCCGTCATCACAGGAGTGCCCGTGTAACTCATGTGGGAAGGCAGAGGAGAAGGACACAAGGAGTTTGATCTGTAGCCTTATTCATGGAGTTTTTATTTCTTCACATAGAAGTCACTGAAAAAAACGTTTCTTCCCAAATTTCTACTAGCAACAAGGAGGCTGGGAAATACGGATCTTGCAAAAAAGACACTAGGGAAAAAAAAAAAATACTCAAATGTCACTGAGCTTTATGTGGCTGCTGAGAACATGCAATTCTATACTGTATCCATGTAAGGAAAATACAATGGTTGAGCTATACCATATTTATTGAAATAGATACACTCATTTTTACAAGAGTTGTGTTAAATTGCTGGAAACATTCTGCACTGGTTAGTCTTGCTTGTTTTCACTTCAGGGACGATGTTCGATAGGAAAGGAGGATTGTGAGAAATGATTCCTTGGGTGTCATTGAGACTCTGCAGTGCTGTGAGCAGGGTCACCTCTAACTTGCAGCTGTACGTGAAACCCAAGCAGAGGCTGAAGCTCCAGCTCCAAGTTGTCACCAGCCGGAGAGCTGCTGGTTGAAAGCAGAGCACTTCACCCTTCTCCAGGGATGATGGTAGTGACTGCTGACCATCTGCAGCTTCATTTTAGCAAAGTTTCTGCACCTATTTCAGAATAAACACTACCAACTATAATGTACTAAACTGTCTGGAAAAGTCCTAGTGCTGATAACTCAAGAAGCTGAGGACAGGTGGGTAGTAAAGTCTTAATGTCACAGGATGGATTGTTTTTCATAGTTTGTTTGAATTATGTCACACATAATTACAACAAAATTAATTTAGTGGACTTGGGGGGGAAGTGTTAGGGCACAGCACTTTGCTGCTGCAGGCAAAGCCTGCAGAGCACATAGATGTGAATATACACTGTTTGCTTTGTACCTGCGTGTGTGACAGTTGTAGCGGATAATAGAGAGGACAAATCAAATTTACCAATAGAATATTTTGTCTGAATCCTAAACGGACTGTGAAAAAGCAACAGTTTTTATACTTTAGCTCCATCCCCTGGACCGAAGTAATTAGGAGGAACGATAGTGGCATACTTTCTGGACCAGCTCTGGAGCCAAACCCTCAGGCACAGGTGAGACACACATGCAGCTTCTTTTTCCAAGGGACTGGAAATGTGGCATCTCACTCCCAGGGCTGTTTGCTAAGAGTAGGGGGGGGAAAAACACATGAAGCACCCACTGGGCTCTCGGTTTTCTTTGACCAACGCCTGTGCACCTCAGACCAAACCTTTTGGAATGACGTTTCTACAAAGGGTTACAAATCAGCAATGACTGAAGCACAGCTGAAGAGGTTCATTAGCTGAGGGACTTAACCGCAGCTTTGACAAGCTAGCATAAATCTTCATTAAAAATAAAACACACCTCATAGCGGCCAAAACCAACATGAATATGTATCTGAATCTTACAATCAGGAGCATCACAAAATATTTCACTTGGCACATACAGTAAGAGAGGTTATGGAAATATCTGTAGCTTTTAGAACAAAACCATGTAAGTATAAACACAGATAAAATAGAACTCATTACTCTGTTTAAGCACTAAACACTGACGTTGTCACTCAATGTGTGTTGACAGTATTCTCTTGCTTTATTAATATCATCAGGGCCTGGTTTATTTTAAAAGGAATGTTAATTTTTAAAAAGAGAAAATTACAATATTGTATATAATGTATACACAAAGATCTCTGTAGAAATATTATTCCAACTTAGCAGGAAAAAAAAAATCAGAAGTATCGGACCATTGGAGGTGAGTGTGTGTGTGTGTCTGTAACTTCGTGAATACTGACTGTGTGACGTTTATTAGGTTTAAACCATGCAGTACATTCTTTGTCTCAATGATACTGTAGTTTCTCCCATAACATTTTTTTTACTTTACTGCAGATAACAAGACCAACCAAGTGAATATAGCTATTTAATGTTTCTGTTCTTTTATACTGCAGCAAAAATGTACTGTAAATTTATGAAGAGGCTGTGCCCCAATGGCATTTTCCAATGATGTTAGTGCACAAATGCTTTAAACTAGACTGGAACTGCCAGAATAAAATGTAAATGAAGAATTTCTTGTATAACCTTATACTGCATGAGATCAATTTTTAATAAATTGTTGCAAATCTGTTTTTATGAATAAAATATATAAAACCTAGCTTTTTGGCCTCAGTGCCCACTTCCCCCATAGCAAAACCATTTTTAATGTGTATGTGTGTGCATGTATATCTATAAATATATGTAAATACAAAAGCCTCCCTGGGGAAGCAGGAATCCTATTACAACACCATATTGTAGTAAAAAGTCAAAATACACATCCCAGTAGTTGAACAGTTCGCATCTAGAGAAAATAGATAGACGAGCTTCTGCCCTGAAATACAATTACTGCAGTACTCATGAGTGATGTCTAAGCCCCTTTTCAAATGAGGAAATAATCAAACATATGCTGAACATTTACATCCAAACCACACTTAATACATGCACTATTCTCTCTTGCACCACAGTGAGTGTGAATTCAGGAGAAAAAGAAAAAATTTACTATTTCACATGAATTATTGAAGTTCAGCCAATCTTCTAGCTCTATAGTAAAATCTCTGCTTCAACAAATGAGAAGTTTCTGAGAATAATCACTGATTGTTTCATGAAGGCAAACACTAAACCTCTCCATACAGTTTCACACATGGGGTGGGTTTTGTGTCCTAAACCAGGTTCTTCTTCATGGCAGAACAGGAGGAGGGTGGGAATGTAGTGCTACGAGCCAGCTAGAGGAAAGAGTATTTTTAGCTGTTTGCTTTTCAACAGGAGCATCCTCAAGCCAGCATAAAATGACATAAAGCCCAAGATTAGGGAATTCAGAGCCACCACAAATGTGTTTTTCTGTAGATTTCTGATGTAGCTTAGGAGTCCCACTGAACACATGCAAAATAGAAAATACCAGCAAGGAGTGAACAGCATGGATTGTGGATCTCAATGCAGAATACCAGATGGCAGGAGAAACTTAAACAGATACATCGAAGCTCATTCAAGAAAGAAAAAAAGAGTCTAGAACGACTTTATTGTGAAATCTATATTCAGCCAGAAATTGTGGGAGGACATGAACAACTTATTGTTGCTCAAGAATAATAGGAAACCAGAACAAAGAAAAACATTGCTTTAAGAGGTCAAGAAAAACATGAGGGAGATGTCAGGGGAGCAAGTTTACTGAAGTTTACTGTTGAGTTTCCACAGTCACAGCAAATACGCTTCCTATAAAATCATAAAATTGCTATTGAATTCATGGAAGATCACTAATGTTGCAGCACTTTTTTCAAATAATTACCAAAATCAAGGATGGTAAGGGAAGAGCAAGAGAGGCACTTTTTCAGTTTTCTCTTTCTTTTCTTAAAAGTTTATAATCAATTCTTTTCTGGTCTTTTCAGAACTTGTTTGTTCATTACAAATCCCGGTATGGTGTGCTTCTTCTCCCCAAGACTGGATTAGTGTTTCTGTCCCTTTCTGCTCAGGCTTGCTTAGCTACTGGAAGCCAGCCCAGCAAGACCTGTCCCAGCACTTCCACAGCACTCTATCGATATCAGCAGGGCTTTATTGCGCTCTCATACCACAGCCCAAAGGATGGGCCAGTCTGCCCATTCAGCAAACTGACTCTCCCTGTCGCTGACTTGTTTAATAGGGATTTTCTTCTCACTGCCTGAGAAGACTGACAGGTTTATTACAGTGGCTTAAACATCATGATTTTTATCTGAGTTCCGTTCTCAGTTACTGACTGCCTGTTCCATCTCTTGAGATGGTGAATAGTACTTATGGCCATTACTTTAATACGCATGAATATTATTCATGAGTGCACTTTCAAGAGCACTCTGCCTCTTGAGCCAATCAGGATTCTGCCAGTGCACTACTGTGCTTATCACTACTCACTAAACAACATTGCAGAGGAGCAATAAAGGGTCTAGGGCTGCATTGGAAGAAGTGGGGAGGAGACGGCCAGAGCCTGTGTTGGACTGCTGGCAAGGGCAACCCTGGGTGGCAGTACCATCACATCAGTATTGCCACAGACATGTCTTACCTGCAGACATTTTGAGCCACCAGCTTTGCAAACTGCAACCGGTTCAAACCCCCTCCCCTGGTGATGAGGTGCTGAAGTGGGCCAAATGAAGGGAAAAGGAGGGAGAGGCATCTTCAATCACTCAGCATGTCCTTCACCACCCGCAAGAACGTGGCTACTACTGATGTCATCAGAGCCAAGAACAGCACAAGCATTTAAACAAATTACTGAACTTTAGAGGCTAAATTCAGTAGAAGTCAAATAGATCTGAGGACAGGAGTAGGAGATTGGAGGGCTGTAGGTACCAGCAGCAAGCAGCCTCTGTGCTGGCTCACTAGCAGAAACATAGCAGAAAGGAGCTCGGAAGACCTTGAGCTTCAGGAGAAAGGACAGACATCATCATGCATTGGCAAATACAGGCTTTGACTAGAACTGAGGATTTTTATCTCCTGACAAGAGGCTATGCAGCTTGAGTCCTGTACTCACCCACACTGGGTGCAACTTAAGCCAAAAAAAGTATATCATCTACTGAATTTACAACCTACAGCTGTAACCACTTCAGGGACATATCACCCACCTACCTACTACTGCAGGCAGCAGTGTGGGATGCCTGCCTGAGCAGGGGCACTGCCACTAGTAGCAAACCGCCCCACAGATGTGAAGTTGTCCATTCTGGCAAGTCAGTTTGACTGGAAAATAGTGTGTGTTGCTGCAGAGAGCACTGGCGGGACACTGAGCAAGCACAAGCAGCTCAGCATCAATGGCCTGGAAAACACCATGAGGGCCAAGGCAGAGACATCCATGCTACCCCCTGTTCTGGGAATTTGTCAAACACCTAAAAGCAAAACCCATTCTAAGGACAGACAAACACAAGCCATCCCTGACTCAGGAATTCTCCTTGACCCTGGCCCGCTCTGCCACACAGTGCAAAACCCTGAGCCTGCACAGCTGAACATCCCATTTGTCCAGGCCTAAGGAAAAAGGAGCATGAAGCAGAAATGAAAGACTGTGGAAAAGCGCAGGCAGAAAATACAAGCACGGCTTTGTACTCATAAAGTAAGTGCTCTGCTGCATTGTTATCCCAAGTGGCTCCTACTCTGCCCTGCCTAAGGGTACTCCAGTACTTCTAAACACCAGGGACCCCCTCCAGCAGACAGAGGGATGGAGACATCTGTTCTGCAGGAGGCAGGAACCTCACATCCTCACCAAATAAGCTAGCTGACACAATAATTAGTTCCTATTATTAAGTAGGCTATCAACTGGTGGTACAAACCAGCACAAGCCTTGTAAGAAGAAAGCGTTCCTCTCCAGCATATGAACATCTCTCTTCAGGAAACCTTGTGTTCTTATTTCTTTGA